CCGGGCCGGGGATGAAGGGCTTCTGGAAGGAGAGACTGGGGACTCAGCGGGAAGAGCACGAAGAAGTCATTTCGGAGGCCATGGCATGGGCTGGGAGGATGGGAGAGACAATGACCCTTCAAAACGGGCCGGTCTCGGGGACGGAGAGGTTGACGGCTTTAGGACCGAGGCCCGGCAGCGGGAGGCTGCGCAATGGGGTGGAGGGAACCGGAGCTAAATTTGGGACCATGGGAGCGAGGATTGGGACTGACTCAAATCCGGAGGCTCTGGGGGTAACAGGGCGGGTCCTCTGATTCGGAACCAGATCTGTGGTATGCAGTTGGGTTCCAAGGCTGAAAGAGGGAGATGTAGTAGTTAATTTATTATTCGTTGCTAGGTTTGGAAACTTGGGTCCGTTTTGGGATGTGAAGACCTGGGGCGAGGCACCTAAAGGGTGGGATTTAGAGGCCCAAGGCTAAAGGCCAGGTAAGAATTTAGGCTTAGTCCCCCCTCACATCCCAGGCACGAGTTTGGAACCTTGGAGCTGACCTTTGAGTCAGAGGTCAAGAGATCAGAAGGACACCAGGCAGGAAAAATGGCCTAGTTGTGGAGAAGGTCTTGGAGTCAGAACACAACAGGAAAAGCCTGTGGTGGGACAGGGAAGGCTCAGAGCTCGGAGGCCGTCGGGAGCCGCGATCTCGGTGGGATCGGGAATGGAGTCAGAAAGTACAGCGCACTTCCCTTCCCCAAAATGGCGGCCGCCGCCCACAACCTTTCCCGTCTGACAGGTAGGCCTTGCGTGGGTCCCCGCCCCTTTAGCGACCACGTGACAGAGCGCTGGCCCACAGGGGAGAGGTGGGGCTTCCAGAGGACGCCTCCGAAGAGACCGCCGCGCGAGCCGCGACCCTATTGGCCAGAAACGCACTCTTCACTGATTGGCCTGAAGGCTTGCGGGGAATGGCGGAGTTTTTCTCCTGAGGCGGGAACCTCAAGTGCCCTTTTGATTGGCAAATTTTGGGTCGAGATTGTCGAGATCTGTCCCGAGATTGGATTGGCAAAGTCGGGCGAGACTTACTCTGATTGGTCAAGCTACCAAATTTCCGCGCGGGGATTGGCTTGCAGAACGATAAAGGCGGAGCAGGAAAGAAAGCTTCGCGCTGGGCATTCAGAAGCAGCCACTAGACTAGCCGGACCTGTAGCGCCATTGGTAAGGAATGGCGGGCGCAGGCGGCCTCTGCGGGCGGGCGGAGCGCTTGGCGCCCGTTTCTTCCCTTACCTCGTGTGGAGAAACTATTTTCCTGCTGCGCGTGGCCACGGCACCACAAAATCGCCCCTCCTTTAACCGGCGCTTACATCCGGGTTCTTTTTCTTGGGCCGCCTTGTGAGCTCGTGGGCCAATGGGAATCACCGCTTAGTACGCTCAGTCTATTAAGTCGCGCAGAGCATCCTGGGACTCGGAGTAAACGTCGACATTTCCCTTCACCACGCGGGAGAAGTGGTGTCCTGCATTCGCTTTGTTTTCCAAACTGTGCTCCTGGCTTCCCTCCTCCCCGGCTCACCTGGCATCTTCCTGGAAGGAAAATCCCGGGGAGCCTGTTAAGCCCGCCTCGGTCAAAGGATTTTGAGAGACCCAGGACTGAGGTTACCTTTTTCCTTCTTTCAGCCCTGCCGCGGCACCTCCCTCCATGGCAGTTCCCGAGACCCGACCCAACCATACTATTTATATAAACAACCTCAATGAGAAGATCAAGAAGGATGGTGAGTTCTCGAAGGAGACCAGACTCCAGGCTGTCTCGCACGGGCCTCTTTCATCCCCAGCATCTACTTCTGCAGCCATCTCTTTCAGGCAAAATACTAGTTAACTCCTCCGTCTTTGCACATGCTGCTTCCTCTTGCTTTAACACTCCCCCAGCTCATCTTCCCTTCTGTCCATTAACCTGGTCACTGTTGCTCATCCTTAAAGGACCCCTCCCCCAGGAGGCCTTCCCCATCTTCTTTCCCCTCAGATGCCTGATTTCCATAGGCCTTGCCTCCTCCCACATCCCAAGCCCTGATGGTTCTGGGCTGTTAGGGCGCTGTCTCTCCACTGGCCAGTGAGCTACATGACAGTAAGAACTGGGGGGGAAAAAAAAAAAAGAACTGGGGCTGGCTTAGTCAGTGTCGTGTTTTCAATGAGCAGCCCACAATGACAATGTTTCATTTCAAAATGAAATGAATAATGATGCATAACACTCTATACCAGGTGCTGATACACGTCTTAATTATATTTAATTCTCACAACAACTCTACAGGAAGTAGTTATTGTTCCCATTTCTCAGATTAGGAAACTGAGACTCAGGGGTGATGTGACTTGCCCAGGGTCACACAGTAAAGAAAAATAGTTGATGTCACCACTGTGGAATTCTGCTTAAGAACTTGATTCTTTTCTTTTGTAATCTTCGAGGACATGTTCATTGATTTGAGAGAGAGAGAAACACCGATGTAAGAGTGAAACATCATATGTGCCCTGATCTGAATCGAACCACTTACCTTTTGGTGTAATGGATGATGCTCCAACCAACTGAGCCATACCAGCCAGGGCACACCCGATTATTATTATTTTTAAAAAATATGTTTTTGTTGATTTCAGAGAGGAAGAGAGAAACATCAACGATGAGAGAGAACAATTGATCGGTCCCTCCTGCACACCCCCTACCGGGGATTGAGCTCGCAAACCAGGCATGTGCCCTTCACTGGAATCGAACCTGGGACACTTCAGTCCGCAGGCCGAAGCTCTATCCACTCAGCCAAACCAGCTAGGGCTTAAATATATTTTTATTGATTTCAGAGAGGAAGGGAGAGGAGAGAGAGAATCATTGATCAGTTGCCTCCTGCACACCCCCTGTTGGGGATCAAGCCTGCAACCCAGGCATGTACCCTTGACGAAAATCGAACCTGGGACCCTTCAGCCCGCAGGTTGACGCTCTATCCACTGAGCCAAACTGGCCAGGGCCAAACCCAGTTCTTGACATCAGACATACCTTTTCATTTTCTTGAAGTTATCACCTTTATTGAACCTCATTTTCTGTGTTTAAGAACTGGGCAAAATCGCAATAGCTTCTTTGCACTGATGTTTCAGGGATTAAATTAGCTAAGCCCCATGCAGTGCTTCTTTTTTTAAAAAAAATATATTTTTATTGATTTCAGAGAGGAAGGGAAAGGGAGAGAGAGATAGAAACATCAATGATGAGAGAGAGTCATTGATGGACTGCCTCCTGCACGCCCCCTACTGCTGGCTCTTGCGGGATTGCTGACCCATGGTATTCTGGGCATTCTTTGTTGGCTGATGTTTCCCTTCTGGGCTGCACTTTCCACTGAAAACGGGAGCTTAAGACCCAGGCATGGTACCAAGGCCTCTAGTCACCCATGGATCTTTCTTCCCCCCACTGTAGAGCTGAAGAAGTCCCTGTATGCTATCTTCTCCCAGTTTGGCCAGATCCTGGATATCCTGGTGTCACGGAGCCTGAAAATGAGGGGCCAAGCCTTTGTCATCTTTAAGGAGGTCAGCAGCGCCACCAACGCCCTGCGTTCCATGCAGGGTTTCCCCTTCTACGACAAGCCCATGGTGAGCACTGTGGGTATGGAGGGTATGTGCGCACTTGTGTGTGAGGTGCTAGAGGAGACTGGATGGGCCTGGATCTTCTGTCACCTGTATTCCAGTCCCTTAAGGACAGGAGTTTCTCTTGCTGTTCTCACATTTACTGTTCACTGTACTAGGGTGTGGGTCACACAATACCTAAGGGAACCCTGCCCTCTCGGACTCACAGTGCTGTGAGAGAGACAAGTTTGTCAACAGATGGTGACAACTCAGGAGTCGGCTGTAATGGGGGTTGTGCGCAGAGCTAGACAAGCTTAGGAGAGGCACCTCAACCAGGCTGGGGGTTCAGGGAAGGCTTTCTGGATGAGGTGAGACTTGAAGAAGTGTTAGCTGGGGGGGTAGAGGGAAAAAGAATGTTAGGCAGAGGGACCATGAGGACTAAGGCCCAGAGATAACCAAGAGCATATGTAATTGAGGAAGTGAGTCAAGTTCATTTGGCTGGAGTGAAGGCAGGAGGTGTGGGGAGGGCATAGCCTGCAGAGCATGACCAAAGTTGGTCCTGAAATTGGAAGTGACTCCCGGGGTGCTGCAGAGCCATGGAAAGGTTTAGGCTGGGAGATGCCTGTGGCTCTTGGATAGAGTGGCTTGGAGGAGAGAATTCAGGGTCCAGTGTGAAGGAGAGGCTGGGTCAGGCTCCCAGGCAGGCTGGGATGAGAGAAAGGTGGCTGGATTGCAGATGTTCACAAGATCAAGTGGATGACCAAGGAGGCTGCAGTCTGGGAGGTAAGGAGTGGCATGAGCTGCACTTTCTGCCAGATTGCTGGCAGATATCTTTGGTCTTTGGTTCATTGGGCCATTTTCCTTGTTCCTTAATAGATTTTTCAGTTTGACTTGGTTAGAATGTGCCTCCCTGAGCCATTTTCCTTGGGGAGGGGACAGCATGTGTCAGTGCCTGCAGGTCCCGGGCAGGTGACCTCAGTGGGGGAGGCGGGTCATGTGGGAGAGTGTTGGCTGGGGCAGCAGAGAAGCCTGGGTATCGAGCCCGAAGCCCAAGCATATGCCCTGACCGGGAATTGAACCGTGACCTTCCTAGTTCAGTGATGGTGAACCTTTTGAGCTCGGTGTGTCAGCATTTTGAAAAACCCTAACTTAACTCTGGTACCGTGTCACATATAGAAATTTTTTGATATTTGCAACCATAGTAAAACAAAGACATTTTTGATATTTATTTTATATATTTAAATGCCATTTAACAAAGAAAAATCAACCAAAAAAATGAGTTCGCGTGTCACCTCTGACACACGTGTCATAGGTTCGCCATCACTGTCCTACCTCAGTGGGGGAGGCGGGTCTAAGCCATGCCGGCTGGGCCCAGTAATTTCTTTAATGTTACTTACTCAGGTCCTGGTAAGGTCTACTTTTGCACCCACGCAATTGACTCCAAAGTCCACTCTCTTAACCCTTTGGCTCTCTGTTGGCAGCGTATCCAGTATGCCAAGACCGACTCGGATATCATTGCCAAGATGAAGGGCACATTCGTGGAGCGTGACCGTAAGCGGGAGAAGAGGAAGCCCAAGAGCCAGGAGACCCCAGCTGCAAAGAAGGCCGTGCAGGGCGGGGCAGCCGCCCCTGTAGTGGGGGCCGTCCCGGGGCCTGTCCCGGTAAGCTAGGACCCCTTCATCACCATGCCTTTCTCTGCTATGTAGCCTGACTGGGGGAGGAGTAGGGGAGGGGTCTCCACTTGGGGATTCAGACACCACCCCCCTTCCATTTCCTTACGTAGGTTGCGTGCCTGTCTCTAGATGATGGTGTTTCCACTTCAGAAATACTGTCCCTGCTTGCCAGACTCTTCCTTACGATCTTTCTTTCTTTGTGTCCCAGGCTCTTGGTTTCTCTCTCCTTGACCTTGATGTTCTCTGTGTAGTAAATCTAGAGGAAGTTACTAAGCCCAGTTGGGATTATTTAATAAGTGGATTTAATGTAGCAAGGTTGCCAGGTGTAAAGTCAATGTGGAAAAAATAAGTTTTTTTTCTATATGCTAGCCACACACAAGTAGACTTCAAACCAAAAAATAGCTCTTAGGGGTCAATCCAACAAAAGGTGTGCACACACGCTACACTACACTACACTACACAACACTGCTGAGAGAAATTGGAGACGGTCTCAGTAGATAGCTGGAGAAGCTCCCTGCTTTGAAGATGTCACTTCTTCCCAGATTGATCTAAAAGTCAACAATTCCAATCAGAACCCCAATAGGAATTTTTGGGGACACTGACAGCCTGTTTCTCAAGCAAGATAGGCGAGAAGAATAAAGCTGGGGGAGCCTGCTGCAGTGGTCAAGATGGTGAGGTATTGGAAGACGGACCAGCGGGCAGAGTAGAGTGCAGACACAGATCCACACATGTGGTTACTCAACATATGAAGCTAATGCTGAGTCCAGTGGGGAAGGGATTTTTTTTCCTAGTAAATGATGCTGGACCAATTGGATATCTGTAAGGGAAAAAAATTACTCTACCACAACTAGATATAAGTTAATTTGAGACGAATCATATACCCGAACGTGACAGCTAAAACAAAGGTTTTGGAAGAAAACAGGAAAGCGCCTTCATGACCTTGGTGAGGCATGAAAATTAGAAGCATCCTGTTTTCTAAACAGGATACAGAAGCACATAGTATGAAAGAAAAAGATGGATGAATTGCGTCCACTGTAGGTCTCTAAGTCTCCACGTGAGCTTTCCTGGTGGTTCACGCTGTATTTGTCCTGCGTGCACTGATGGCATCAGGAATGGTGTTTGGGTTACTGTCCAGCTTCCCCACTCTTTACCTGTCCCTTCTTCTGTGTCCAGCTTTCTGTCCATCTTTCACTGTCAAGGAGTGATTCCCGCTCCTGCAGCCCTGTCCCCTCAGTGCATGTGTTGTGTCATCCGCTGTCTGCTTTCTTCCCTTCGCTGCCACCCTTCTCACTTCTTTCTGTATCTGCCTTGACCATCTCTGCCTTCCATTTCTTTTTTCTCTGTAGGACTCTGGATCTATTTCTTTGTTTTTTTCTTTAAAGTTTATTCTTAGATGTGAAAATATAGCGTTCTCATTATAGTGTTTATTTCCACTTCTTTTAGTTAACTATTGTTAATACTTAGAATTTTTTCCTGTTTATTTTTTCCATGCATATATCTATAGACAAACTTAGGTTGCACTGACTTTTTTTTTAATGTTAAAAAAATTTCTTTTAACTTTCTTATATGACATCCCCATTGACGCTGGGTCTGTTTTGCTCTGTTTGTTTCTCTTGGTATCCTTTGCCTTTTTTACCTCTTCCTAAGTCTGGGTTTTTCTCCCTGTGTCTTACACCTGGATTTCCTCTAACAACCTTTTCTCCACTGCGCTTCCTAATGACACTGAAAGCAAGTTTCTTCCCCCTGTCAGCCACCCACTCAGTCCAGCCCTCCCTCTCCACAGGGCATGCCGCCGATGACTCAGGCACCCCGCATCATGCACCACATGCCCGGCCAGCCTCCGTACATGCCGCCCCCTGGCATGATCCCACCTCCAGGCCTCGCACCTGGCCAGATACCACCGGGGGCCATGCCCCCACAGCAGCTTATGCCAGGGCAGATGCCACCTGCTCAGCCTGTAAGTGTCTAGTTCTCCTGGGGTCTCGTATAAATAGTCAGAACGTGGGAACCGAAGGGGCGCTGTTAAAGTGTGGGTGGTCTGGGTAAGCCTCCCTGAGGAGGTGCTGTTGGAGGATGAGCGCGAGGTTCTGGAGCAGCAAGGGATTGACGTATTTGTTGGAGCTTTGGAAGGTCCGGGTGAGCCTGGAGCAGCGGCCAGCACCTGGATTCATGCTCAGTGATCTGTTGACAAGCACCTGCTCTGGATATAGCAGTGCTTTCTTGTGGCTCACAGTCTAGAGCACTGGTTCTCAACCTGTGGGTCGCGACACCTTTGGGGATCGAACGACCATCGGAAAACACATATATAATTACATATTGTTTTTGTGATTAATCACTATGCTTTAATTATGTTCAATTTGTAACAATGAAAATACATCCTGCATATCAGATATTTACATTACGATTCATAACAGTAGCAAAATTACAGTTATGAAGTAGCAACGAAAATAATTTTATGGTTGGGGGTCACCACAACATGGGGAACTGTATTAAAGGGTCGCGGCATTAGGAAGGTTGAGAACCACTGGTCTTGAGGGTACGAAGCAGAGAAAGGATTCAAGCAGGGTGGGGGTGGAGAGCAGAAGTCAGCAGACCCCCCATTAGACTCACGCGCTCCTGTCTGTTCCCTGTAGCTTTCAGAAAACCCACCAAATCACATCTTGTTCCTCACCAACCTGCCAGAGGAGACCAATGAGCTCATGCTGTCCATGCTTTTCAATCAGTAAGTGGGGCCTGTGGTTGGGCAGGGGCCAGAGGGTGATGGCCAGAAAGTGGCACCATGGGGATAGGCCTCAGAATTCTGCTAGCGGAGTCCTGTGTCTGCTTAGGCTTTGCAGGTGGGACAGGGACTGGACATGGAAAAAGAGGAGGCTGAGGTCAGGCCCACAGCCCATGGGGTGTGGTGGTGATGAGGCTTAGGGTCAGCAGTGGCCAGAGTGTGTGTGCTGTCCTCCACCTTCGTGGGGGTGGAGAGGCTCTGTGCCTCAGCTTTCTAGTCTGTAGGATTCAAGGTACATGTGAAAAAGACCTCATTGAACACTGGCCAGACTTGCAAAAATCAGTATGCCAGCAAGCGTGGTAGGTGGGGAGGTTTGAACCTCGTGCCTTGCTGATGGCATGTAGACTCTGACCATTGTGCAGGGTAACCGTTCACTGCTTAGTGAAGTTAAGGGGTGTGTCTTCATCCAAACTGTGTTTATTGAAGTGCTTCCCCACTCATCTTGATTTAGATGCTTTTATTTATTTCTATTATTTAAACAAATATATTTTATTGAATTTTAGAGAGAGGGAAAGGGAGAGAGAAACATTGATGTGAGAGCAGACTAACAATCAGCTGCCTCCTGCACAACCCCCAGTGGGGATCCAGTCTGAAACCTGGGCGTGTGCCCTGACCTGGAATTGAACCAGCAACCTTTCAGTGCACGGGGAGATGCCTAAGCAATCGAGCCACACTGGCCAGGGCTGATTTAGGTGCTTTTAGTGCTGCTCTCATTTGGAGAAGGCTCTTCTGTCAGCCTTGCTTTTCCTCCTATATGTTGACAGCACAGTGGACCAGCCAGCACACAAAACTACTGTCTGGCTAAAGACAGTGGTGCTTTTACAGCGCCTGGGCATTCACATCCGTAAAATAAGAACTGGGCTCTGCACCAGGCGCTTCTTGTGTTTCCTCATCTCTTCTGGAGAGGGATGAAGGAGATCTTTAACAAAAGCCATGTTATGGGGAGGTTGTCACTGCCAGAAAGGCCTTCAAGAAATTTTTTTTAATCCTTACCTAAGGATATTTTTTCCATTAATTTTTTTTTTTTTTAATAAAGAGTAGAAGGTAGAGGAGCATGGGGGAGAGAGAGAAACACTAATGGTAGAGACTCATTGATTAGTTGACTTCCCCATGCGCCCCGACCAGGCTGAGGTTCAAACCTGCAACCTAGGTACTTGCTCTTGACCGGGATGCAAACCCGAAATCCTTCAGTCCATCGGCTGACGTTCCAACCATTGAGCACACCAGCCAGGTCCCTAAAGAAATTCTTTTTATTTATTTATTTTTTTATTGATTTCAGAGAGAAAGGGAGAGAGAGAAAGAAACATCAATGATGAGAGAGAAACATTGATTGGCTGCCTCCTGCACACCCCTTACTGGGGATTGAGCCCACAACCCAGACATGTGCCCTTAACTGGAATCAAACCTGGGACCCTTCAGTCCTCAGGCCGACGCTCTATCCAGAGCCAAACCAGCTAGGGCAAGAAATTCCTAACATGAGTCCCAAGGAGTATAGATGGTACATTCCTCACAGGGGTCATGGTGGGGAATTAGCCTGCGCAAAAGGAGAAGTCAAAGGTGACGCTCACCATGGTGTCTGCAGCATTAGAAGGAACAGAGTGCCGCAGGCATGGTTCTTTAAAATAGTGCTGAGAGGAGATTTTGAGAAACTGGGTAAAACAAGCAATGCCACATGTTTACCATGTCCACAGAACAAAACATATTTTATAAGAATACTGATGGGTAAAAGGATACCCAGTCAACATGAGTATGGTTGCCTAATGGGGAAGGAAGTAGGGAATGAGAAGAGGGAAATGAAAGAAACAGCAGATCCTAGAGGTCAGGGGAGTGGTTATTTCTGGAGCGAAGATAGGTTGGTTATGAGAGAAAGAAGCAATGGGGAGGCCCGTGTTTGGTGGCTTGATCTAGGATATGGTTGTGTAGGAGTTTGTGTTAAAATTTCTCATTAAATGATATGTTCATAATGTGTGCACTTATTTATATTAGGGTTTTTCAACTTAGCATTATATACATTTAGGGATGGGTAATTCTTTGTTATTGTGGCCATCCTCTGTATTGTAGGATGTTTAGCAACATCCTGGCCTCTGCCCACCAGGTGCCAAAATGTTAAGGGGAAGTGCTGATTCTAGATCCCTGAGATCTGTTCTCTTCTCTCAGGTTCCCTGGCTTCAAGGAGGTTCGACTGGTCCCAGGGCGGCACGACATCGCCTTTGTGGAGTTTGACAATGAGGTTCAGGCAGGGGCTGCTCGTGATGCCCTACAGGGCTTTAAGATCACCCAGAACAACGCCATGAAGATCTCCTTTGCCAAGAAGTAGCACCTTTTCCCCATGCTTGCCCTTGCCCCCGTTTGGGGGCCTTCCCTCTTCCCCTTGGCTCGGCCCCCTGAAGGTAAGTCCCCCTCGGGGGCCTTCTTGGAGCCACGTGTGTGAGTGAGTGGTCACACAGCATTGTACCCAGAGTCTGTCCCCAGACATTGCACCTGGCGCTGTTAGGCTGGAATTAAAGTGTTTTTTAAGTTTGATTTTCTACAACAATTTGTTGTTTTTATTTTCTTGTCCTCTATGGTTCCCTTTTCTGTATATCAGAGTAGCCTGAATTTTTGGACCTCATCTGCACCTTTGGGAAAGCAGAGTATGTAATAATACTGTCTGAGATGGCATCACCTTTACTACCTTGGCAGATTTCTATTTTGCCTCAGCATTCAGTGCAGGATATTGAAATCCAGGCTGCCATGTACAGTTGGACAGGTTCTATACTGCACAAGGATGTCACCTTTAATGGCACACCATTCACTTTGTAGAACATTAATTTTCTAACATGATAGAGCGTTAAGGAAGACGTTTTTCTTTTTTTAAATATATTTTATTGATTTTTTACAGAGAGGAAGGGAGAGGAATAGAGAGTTAGAAATATCCATGAGAGAGAAACATTGATCAGCTGCCTCCTGCACACCCCCTACTGGGGATGTGCCCACAACCAAGGTACATGCCCTTGACCGGAATTGAACCTAGGACTCTTCAGTCCACAAGCCGATGCTCTAGCCACTGAGCCAAACTGGTCAGGGCAAGGAAGACGTTTTTTTTGCCTGTTTCTAATCTTCACAAAGTGCCTTCTGTTACAGCAACAGTCCCATCCTGGGTACTTCAGGAAGAAAGAAGGTACAGTGGGGCCTTGACTTACAAGTTTAATTCGTTCTGTGACGGAGCTCGTAACTCAAATTACTCTTTTGTCAAATCAAAAAGTGAACGAGTGAGACACGTGATGCTGGGCTGATGTGGCGTTCACTGTGACGGTCGCTGCGCCAACTAGCGGTGGGGTATCAAGCTGGCTCGTAACCCGAATTTTAGCTCGCAACTCAAAGCAAAAAATCGGCCGAGAGACGGCTCGTATCTCGAAAAACTCGTTAGTCGGGACACTTGTAAGTCAACACCCCACTGTAATTAATTAGGTACTCATGAAATCATTGGAAGGATAGTAGGAATGGCAGTCTGGGTTTGAGACACTTGAGTTCAAGTTTGTAACCCCTGATGGAGCTTCAGTCTAGAATTCAGGAAGATGCCACTGCTGCTAACAGGAGGCCCAAACGGACTTGAACACACATGGGAAGCTACCGACCAGATGCTGGCACAAACAACTGACCTCCCTTGCTGACCAGCTGTTGCCAGCCAGAAGACTCAAATTCCTCTTCAGTGCCCTAGTTGCAGGGGAGTCTGGGAAATGTAGTCTCTGGCTAGACAATCATGTTTGCAGCTGAAGCTACGGATAAGGAAAGATGGAATGGAGGATCTCCCTTAACTGTCTGTTACACACCTAATCTGGAGAATTTTATATTGACTCAAAAAAAAAAATATTGCTTCAGACCCTTTCTCATACTATATAGATGGGAAAATAAGATTATTTGACAGAAGCACAAAATGAACCACAAAAACAAGGGCAGTAGGACATAGGCTTACATTCGCTGAATATTTTTCCTGCCAAGGCTAGCCCACACCTGTCTCTCCTCTGGTCTTATCATTAAAGAGGAACACCAGTGAAGTGATGAGACTTGTAACACCAAATGCAGACTTTCTCCCTGTAAGATCTGAAAGATTGGAAGTAGAAAGAGATGGTCCCCTTTACTACAAGACACAGTGTTATTGCAGATGGCAAGTGGAAACATCTTGCCCACCACACTGGTTCTGTGGTCAGCAGATCCCAGTCTCTGCTTTCTGCATGGGGGACATGCAGACATTCCTAGCTATCCCTTCACCCACTCAGTCATTTTCTTGTGTAAAGAGGAATCTATATTAATACTGTGGTATTGTTTGTACTGTTACTCCCCACTGCCAAGCACTTAGCAAGCACTCAATAAATTGAGCAGATACTTGCTGAGTACTTTTTCTGTGCTAAATACTGTTCGTGGTATAGGATATACAATGGTGAATAAAATAGACAAGCTGATGTCAAGTACTGTTACCAGCAAAACGTCATGGAGTGATGAGAGGGTGAGGCTGGGGAACAGTGACTACTGGGTGATTCAGGAAGGCCCTTAGAGGAGGTGACATTTAAGTAGAGCTGTTGAATGTTCTCATGATACTTGGTGCTGGGTATTGGGTATGTTTTACATGCCCCTGATGAATTCTCCACCCAAGATTGATTGTTCACCCTCTTCCCCCCTAAACAAATTTGGACTTGCTGTCCCAAAGGTGAGAATGCCTGGGGAAAGAGATGGCTGCCCAGGAGAATGATCTCACCACGTGGCTCTCTCATTTGAGGCACAATTTAGAGGTGAGCCTTGAATTCAAATCCTCCACTTTTTTATTCTAACTCTGGGCAACTGAACTCCAAACTCAGTATGGGCCTGGACCCAAATCTAGCCCCTGTACTTCCTGGCTCTATAACCTTGTGAACAACTTTAAGGCTCTGTGCTTCTATTTCCACACAAAATGGGGTATTTGTTGGAGTCAATAAAAGTACATACCATATTTTTCTGTGTATAAGACGCTATTTTTTCTAAAATCGTTAGACTGAAAATCAAGGAGCATCTTATACACGGAAGTCAGTCGAGGAGGGATCCATATGGGTGCATAGCTCCCCATACCTTGTCAAACAGGCTTCCTCCAATCATGAACCTTATTACTGACATCAGCTGATGCCATAATTGGAGGTGGAGGTGGAGAGTGCACAGATGCAACAGGGACCAGAGCGTACTGAGCCTATAAAGATGTCAAAAAATAAAAAGACAAATACGGGTAAGCGATAGTCTTACTCTGCAAAATTCAAACAATGTAATTAGCTCTGCAAAAGAGCATGGAAATAGAGCTGCAGAGAGACAATATGGACCTCCTCCCACTGAGTGTATGATCAGACAGTGGAGAAAACGGGAAGAAGAACTCCTTAAGATGCCAAAAAGAAGGCCTTACTAGTAAGAGGAAAACCAGCAAAATGTTTAAAATACTGAGTTCTTAGTTTTGGGTTTGAAAAGCAGGGGGCGGGGCGGGGGGGTCTTATACATGGAAGAATATGGTAATTAAAATGGTGAATGCATTATAAAGAACTATTAGCTTTTATCTCTATTGTACAGATGAGAAAGGTGAGCCTCCAAAAGGAGAATATAGCTTAGCCCAGGTCACTGAGTCAGGAAGTGACTGGTGAGGATAAATAATGATCATGGCAGGGTACACCTAGCCTAAGGTCCAACATATAATATTCACTCAGTATTTGAGAGCTGGCGCTATTCTTGGCAATCAAAGGGCTACCTGTTCTGTCCCTCAGCACAGGAAATTCCAAGCTAGGTACCCAAGCCAACTGGAGAAGATGGAATTGAATATCTCAGCCTGCCTGTCTGGGCCTCTGACTGCTGAGGGGGTAGCCTGGGCAGCTTTGGAGCTCTAGGCATTTCCTTGGGTGGGAAGCCCCCACCCTGTCCTTGAAATGGTTCTGGCTGGGTAGCAGCCTCTAGGTGGTGTGGGCGAAATTTGGGACTGGTTTAGGGCAGGGACAAGACTTAGAACACAGGATTCCTTGTACTGCTGTAAAGAGGGAGGGAGGAGGAAATTGGAGACCCCGTTCCCTGCTTAGTCACTCTCCTGCTCATAGTCCATGATGACTTGGTCTAGGGTGTTCCTCGGTGTCATCTTGCTGTCTGCCTTCCCAGGACCTACTGTTGGGGGCCGCTCCATGCCCAAGCTGGCTGACTGGAAGCTGTGTGCTGATGAGGAATGCAGCTGTAAGAGTTGGGGTTGGGGGTGGGGGGCTTGGATTGCCAGCCTGAGTGAGGGTATTACATTCCCTATATCGTCCCCAGACCCATCTCATGCTGTGGCTCTCAGGACTACGTAGCCC